AAGCTTCTAAGAAAGAGATGGAAGAGATCCTGGAGATCATCAAAAAGAGTGACTACATTGTAGTTGAACAGCTGGGGCAAACCCCGTCCAAGATTTCTATGTTGTCACTATTATTATGCTCAGAGGCCCATGCCAAGGCTCTGATTACCTTTTTGAAGACTGCCCACGTGCCACAAGAGACATCAGTTGATCAGTTTACAGATTGTATGGCCAATTTGACTGTTGATAATGGGTTGGGTTTCTCGGATGCCGACTTGACTGCTAAAGGGAAGAGTCATAACGATTCCATGCATGTTTCCATTGAATGCATGGGGCACTACTCTTGCACATGTATTGGTGGATATTGGTTCCTCATTGAACGTCTTGCCCAAGAAAGCTCTAGACCGGTTGGATTGTGAAGGGTTGGAGCTGAAACCAAGCAACATTGTTGTCAGGGCCTTTGATGGGTCTAAAATAATGGTACATGGAGAGGTTGATATCCCGATCAAGGTTGGTTCTCAGGTCTTCAATTCTACATCCTATGTGATGGACATTCGGCCATCTTATTCTTGTTTGCTGGGTCGTCCATGGATCCACAAAGTTGGGGCCGTAACCTCAACGCTCCATCAGAAGCTGAAGTACCCGGTCAAAGGGAAGATTGTAATAGTACAGGGAGAGAAAGAGTACATGGTTAGCCACCTCAACTCTTTTCGATATGTAGAGATGGATGGGGAGTTCATTGAGACCCCATTCCATCACTTTGAAGAAGTTCCCCAGACACTGGCGTCGGTTGAGACTGTTGTTGAAGATTCTCCTATGAAGATGGCTTCCCTCAAGGATGCCCGGGCTGTCATTGAGAAAGGTGGGTGTGCACAATGGGGACGACTCCTTGATTTTACACAGAAGACTAACAAGTTTGGTTTGGGTTTCACTGCAGAAGCTCAAAGGGCTGTTCGGAATGCACAAATCGGAAGACCTCCCGTGTTCATCAGCAACTCGGGGGTGAATGCCATTGAAGACGACGTGGAAGAGTCTGAATTCGACAGTTGGATCTATCCTACAACCAACGGTGGACCAAGCAACTGGAGAGCAAAGGACTTCATCCCTATTACTTTTGTTACCCAGTAATGAAACTTTTGGTTTTGAATTTGTAACAGACAATATTTTAAACTTTACGGCCCGGTGTCTTACCCGGGGCACTGTGGCTTCATTTGTGAGGGCTTTATGTGTGTCATTTTCATATATCATTAATAAAAGCATTGGATGTTCTTGCATTTCAAATTTTGTGCTCTTTGTTTTTCTTTATTATATATTGCAAAACAGTTATTTTACACACACTCACATATATAGGTCCACATCCACTCTGGATCTCACTGGTAACGACTCTGCTACTGCCAGTTATGACTTCAAAAATCCGATCAACTTAGTCGAAGACAAAGGTGAAGATGATTGTGAAGTGCCTGGTGAACTTGCAAGACTGTTACTCCAAGAAGAGAGGGCCATTCAGCCGCACGAAGAGCCGGTGGAATCAGTGAATCTGGGTATAGAGACAGATAAGAAAGAAGTCAAGATCGGTGCAAATCTGGAAGCTAGTGTGAAACAACGGTTGATTCGGATGCTGTGTGACTATGTTGAGATCTTTGCCTGGTCTTACGAAGATATGCTTGGTCTAGATACTGATATTGTGGTTCATCGCCTGCCTACCAAGGAAGACTGTCCTCCAGTGAAACAGAAGGTCCGGCGAATGCGCCTAGAGATGTCTGAGAAAATCAAGGCTGAAGTTATGAAACAGTTTGATGCCGGTTTTCTAGAAGTGACTTCTTACCCTCAGTGGGTTGCCAATGTGGTTCCTATGCCGAAGAAGGAGGGTAAGGTTCGAATGTGTGTTGATTACAGGGATTTGAACAGGGCGAGCCCTAAGGATGACTTCCCTCTACCTCATATCGACGTTCTGGTTGACAACACCGCTCAGCATAAAGTCTTCTCCTTTATGGATGGTTTCTCCGGTTATAATCAGATTAAAATGGCTCCCGAAGATATGGAGAAGACAACCTTTGTAACTCAGTGGGGTACCTTTTGCTACAAGGTCATGCCTTTTGGACTGAAGAATGCTGGGGCAACGTATCAGCGTGCCATGGTTGCTTTGTTTCATGACATGATTCATCATGAGATGGAATTATACGTCGACGATATGATTGCAAGGTCCCAGACAGAGGAGGAACATCTTGACCATTTGCAGAAGCTGTTTGATAGGCTGAAGTTGTACAAGCTGAGATTAAACCCGAACAAGTGCACCTTCGGGGTGAGATCTGGTAAGCTGTTGGGTTTCGTCGTAAGCGACAAAGGTATTCAAGTGGATCCTGCAAATGTGAAAGCTATACAAGAGATTCCAGCTCCCAGAATAGAGAAAGAAGTCATAGGTTTCCTGGGACGATTGAACTACATTGCCCGATTCATCTCGCACCTGACTGCTACTTGTGAGCCAATCTTCAAGCTACTAAAGAAAGATCAAGTAGTACGTTGGAACGATGAATGTCAAGCCGCTTTCGAAAGGATTAAAGAGTATCTCCAAGAGCCACCCATTCTAATGCCCCCAGTTGAAGGGAGACCTCTGATCTTATACTTGACAGTACTCGACAACTCAATGGGGTGTGTGCTGGGGCAGCATGACGAGTCTGGCCGAAAAGAGCATGCTATTTATTACCTTATCAAAAAGTTTACCGACTGCGAGACCCGATACTCGTTGCTCGAGAAAACTTGCTGCGCTTTGGCATGGGCTGCTCGCCGGCTGAGACAATATATGTTGACTCACACTACTCTGTTGATATCAAAGATGGATCCAATCAAGTATATCTTCGAGAAGCCTGCCTTGTCCGGAAGAATAACAAGATGGCAGATGATCTTGACTGAGTATGACATCCAGTACACTACCCAAAAGGCAATTAAGGGAAGTGTGTTGGCAGACCATTTGGCACATCAGGCAGTGGATGATTACCAGTCTATGAACTTCGAATTTCCGGACGAGAATATCATGTTGGTAACTGATTGTGAGACACCTGGACCAGATGAAGGACCTGAGGAAGGATCCCGATGGTCTATGTACTTTGATGGAGCTTCAAATGCTTTGGGTAACGGCATTGGCACCGTGATCATATCTCCTAAAGGCTCTCATACTCCGTTCACTGCCCGACTATGTTTCAACTGCACCAACAATATGGCAGAGTATAAGGCGTGCATTATGGGCCTTCGAGCCGCAATTAACCTAAGGATTAAGTTTCTAAGTGTCTTCGGAGATTCCGCTCTCGTGATCAGTCAGATCAAAGGCGAGCGGGATACGAAACACCCAAATCTTATTCCTTACAAGGAGTATGTATTGACGTTGCTTCCCCATTTCGAGGAGATAACCTTTGAACACTTCCCTAGAGAGGAGAATCACCTGGAGGACGCGTTGGCTATGATGTCTTCTATGTGCAAGGTCACTTGGGACAATGAAGCTCCCCGGATCATCATTGAAAGATTGGACGAACCTACACATTGCTGTGACATTGAGACTGAAGAGGTAACAGAAAAGCCTTGGTACCATGAGGTGAAGAGATACCTTGAAGCTCAAGAATATCCCGAGGGTGCATCTGTTAATGACAATAAGTTTCTGAGAAGGTTCACGGCAAAGTTCTTCATTAGCAATGACATCCTTTACAAGCATAACCATGATTCGACCTTACTGCGTTGTGTGGATAAGAATGAAGCAGAAAGGATCATGGCGGAGTGACATGAAGGTACTTTCGGGACTTATTCCAGTGGACACACTATGGCAAAGAAGATCCTACGGGCAGGATATTATTGGTCCACAATGGAAGCTGACTGTTATCAACATTCTCGGACATGTCACAAGTGTCAGGTTTATGCTGATAAGGTGCACATACCTCAAGTTCCTCTGAACGTCTTGAAAGCACCTTGGCCTTTTGCAATGTGGGGCATTGATATGATCGGCGAGATCAGACCTACAGCATCCAACGGGCATCATTTCATCCTCGTAGCAATTGATTACTTTACAAAGTGGGTTGAAGCAGCTTCCTTTGCTACTGTAACCAAGAACGTCGTGGCACGTTTCATTCGGCATAATCTGATTTGTCGATATAGTGTACCAGAGAGGATCATTACGGACAATAGTACGAATCTCAACAACAAAATGATCACCGAACTCTGCGAGCAATTCAAGATACAACATCACAACTCTTCTCCCTACCGGCCAAAGATGAATGGGGCTGTAGAAGCGGCTAATAAGAACATTAAGAAGATTGTGCAGAAGATGAAAGTGACATACAAAGACTGGCACGAGATGTTACCATTTGCTCTTCACGGGTATCGTACCTCAGCGCGGACGTCAACAGGGGCAACACCCTATTCCTTGGTATATGGCATGGAGGCAGTCTTGCCCATTGAAGTTCAGATACCCTCTCTTCGGATCATGAAGGATGCAGGTTTGAGCGAAGACGACTGGATCCAGACCCGGCTTGATCAGCTAAACTTAATCGACGAAAAGAGACTTACTGCTATTTGTCATGGTCAGACGTACCAAAAATGGATGATGAAGGCATTTAACAAGAAAGTTAGACGACAAGAGTATCAAGTTGGGGATCTGGTAAGCAAGCGCATTCACTACGCCAAAAATGATTTTTTGTATCACCTAATTTAATAGCACTTTTAAAAAAAATGCTATTAAAATGGAAAAAAACACATTTATAATAGCACTTTTTAATCGGGCGCTATTATATAATACAAACTATGTAATTTTGATAGCACTTTGTACCAGAACGCTATTATTAAACTTCTTTAAGATAGCATTTTGTATAAAACGCTATTATTTGACTACCTATATAATAGCATTTATTAAAAAGCGCTATGTTATATATAATAATAAATTAATTAATTAATTGATAAAAAAAAAACACATTTTCAGAAAAAAACAAAGCACTGTGCAATCCAGTCACTAGCAAGTTCATGTTCAATTCTTTCTCCTCATGAAACTCTTCAATGCATTTGCATGCTACGCACATTCAATGCATTGTAAGTTTCCCAAACCCACAGCGAACGTAACAGTTTCCCATCAATTTTCCCCTTTCGATTTTCCCGGCCACACCACCGCCGTCATCGCCGCTTCATCCACCGACGACAGCGGCATCCCGTCTCAAGATCTCGCAGTTCTCCTCGAAGTCGACGGGTGAATTTTCGCTTTTCTTCGTTATTAACAATCTCGTTTCAGTTTCACTCTGCTCAACTTGTTTGAACTGTTGTGGTTGTTAATTGTTTTATTTATTTATTTATTTGTTTTTTAGGGTTCTTGTGGATGCATACCATGGGAATCGCATAGCCTTCAATAAAGGTATCAACAGTTCGACTGTGCTCACTGTCACTGCTCATCTATAATTCCATATTCTCCTTGTGTTATTCTGTTTTCATGGAGTGTAACGAACTGTTGTTTTTCGATTTTGATTTCGATGTTGTGCTTGCAGCATTTGAGAAACTTGGACTTGATTGTGCGAGCTGGAGCAAACCTGTCTATTCAGATCTTTTAAGGTGTTTTTTTGGTTATTTGTTGTTATATTATTTTCTTGCCTGTGCATATGTTCTAATGGAAAAGGTGATGATGATACACTTAGATTTCATGAGTTCTTGTAATCAATGCATTGAATTTCAATGAAGTCTCAGTTTGGTAAGGACTTGGAATTTCTGCATTCATGCAGTCATGGATCTTAGCTGTAAGATGAACATGATCATCAAAGCACAAGGAGATAAACTGTAGTCAAGTGTGGAAGGCTGCCCGCGTCAATAAGAGCGGGGTGATTGATAATGAGAAGAGTCAGAAGTTGTAAAAATTTAATTGCTATGTTAATTTGTAAAAATGTATATACAGGTAGAAGAGTCAGAAGTTAACAGAATTTTGATAATGACTTGTCTTTCAACTCTCTTCTGAGTTCTGATACTAATTTGGTGCATGTTTTCTTGCAGGGGAACCTATCTCGGTGCTTGATGGAGTTCTTGTTGCTATCAAGGATGAAATAGACTGTTTACCATATCCTACGACAGGTAGTGTTAGCTCGTAAATTCTACTCACTTGATTTGAGCATCTTTAAATGGTGTCTGTCATGTAGGAGGTACAAAGTGGCTGCACAAACAAAGGCCTTGTCTGAATGACGCTTGCTGTGTTAAGCGTTTAAGATTATGCGGCGCCATACTTGTTGGAAAGACTAATATGCATGAACTTGGCGCGGGAACTAGCGGTATAAATCCACATTACGGGTAAGAAACCATGGGTTATATATACTATAGTACTTATATTCACATTTTTGTTACATTTTTCGGTTTCTTGTCTACTAAGCTATATATTAATTATTTGTATTAACAAGAGCTTGGCTTTTTTTATTTACACTCCACAGGGCTTCTAGAAATCCTTATGATGTCAATAGGATAGCAGGAGGTTCTTCTAGTGGATCTGCATCGGTGGTATCCGCAGGTTTGTGTCCTATTGCTCTTGGTGTCGACGGGGGAGGTTCTGTAAGGATGCCTGCAGCACTTTGTGGTGTAGTTGGTCTTAAACCGACTTTTGGTCGTATACCTCATGACGGGTGAGTATTCAATTGAAATATACTCGGGGAGGATTGTTATTGTCACGGTGTAATGATTTAGAATAATGATATTTTGTTACATTCAGAGTTCTTCCTCTAAACTGGACAGTTGGAATGGTTGGAATACTCGCAGGCACGATCGAGGATTCATTGATCGCGTTAGTAATCGTCCTTACCGTGATTACCATGACTTTTTCCCTCAAGTAAGTTTTAACATTGGTTTCATAGCTTCTAATATTCCAATATTTACAGTTATGCAGCTTCTAATATTCCAATATTTAACATTGGTATCAGCTACCCTTTATATGCTTGGTTCTGTATGCATTTCATCCACTTTGAATTTCAAATATTTTTATTATAAATTTAGATATTGAATATATTATGGTTTTCAATAGAATATCGAACATATAAATTTCAAAGTTATTTATTTATTTTTATATAAAGGTGATCAAACATTTTATATGACCTATGAATATCTTTTGTAGGTCCCAAGCTCTGAAGTATTCTACAGCCTGAATGCTAGTATTGTTGGCTTAGCAGTTGAATCTGAAGGACCTGAAAATTCACCCTGGTGTCTCGGTCTTGGTAGGTAACTTGGCTGACTTCCAAAATGTCTAGTTATATATGAAAAAAAAATCTTGGTCTAAAATAAATGTTGATTTCTCAAAGTTTTAAAGAATAGGAATTTTCTTTATTCATCCATAACAGAACACCAATGAATGAAAGAAAGGGTTACTTTAGGGATTCCCATGATGTATGGAGTTCCCTAAGTGGCTAACTGATACTCCAAACAGATTTAACTCCATGAATAAAGTCTGCATCAGTTACAAAATAAGGATATAAGTTTTAGGTGCAGTACAGACAGTCTGTAGACAGCAAGAGGGTGGATCAAGACTTGCAAATGTGAATCCAGCTGCTGAAGCAAATGTAAGTATTACCATTTTGTATTCAAAACCGTTCACTGCTCGATCTATCTAAATCTTCAGTTGGATTTAATTCCAGATATTTGGTGATCCAGATGCTGCTGATGTTGTATTCACAAGTGGCGCAGATATATTGGCAGTTGGAATAAATGTTACTCACCAAGTCGTATTGTCAGGTACCCCTTTGCCAAATTCATATGCACTCAGTTTTTTCATGCTTACGTAGGTATTTTGTTAAAATGACTAATCATCTCTTGGCAAATCTTATGTGGTTTAACATCTAGTTCTTCAACTGTTATGATAACTTTCTTTCCTTTTCCTTTCATGATTTATGCATCATGATCCAGCAACCTTTGATAGCCCTGAAATTTATCTATATGAATGTTAATGCCATTTTATAGCAGTTCTGTCTCTCTCCAAATTTCTTAGAATAGTTTGTAAAGATGCTATGGGATTGCATTGACTCTACCAAAGAAATAGGAATTTTTCAGTGACCAACCTAGTTCTTTAGGGGAAGGAAGTAAACTTTTCGTAAATGGTTTAGGCTGTTGTTTGATAGGAGTTTAGATTGCATTAAAATTTAAATGAATTCCCCGGCCTTTTGTTTATATATTCCTTCTATTTGATTAGGAAGAGCAATTTATGTGAAGATTTCCCAGGTATGCCTAGAACATTCTGTTTCAGATAACTGTTACATTCTCAAGTACACTGCATTAGCTCTGGCCTGGCCAAAATCTACCTTACTGGACCAAACATGATGACAGGGATAACTACAGAGATACTTCGTTGGTGAATAGAGTCTTAGCTGAACAGAGAACATAACCTGGAGTTTGCTAAGCTTGTTCCTTTTTGTATGGGCTAATGGAGGATGCTTTCCAAGGGGTGATTAAGCACCCCATAATACCCAAGTCTATATCTTAACACTGCCCACAAGAGTCGCCATTCTGGAGGCCTACTGTAGGAAACTTCGCTTGACCATTTTCAAATAGCTCATCTGTAGTTGGCCTTTTCTAAGACACCGGCAAACTAAGTCACTCAAATACTCCGCCGAGCAACTTATACTATTCAATGTTAGACTTGGGAACTCCATAATATTCAAGTCTCCGTCACCCTTTTGAGTGCAATTATTAGGGAAAATACTTTGTTATCAAGATTTTCTATCTTGTGATGACTTGTTCATTTTGTTATGAATTTTGGATCCAAATACCCTAGTTAGTTGGTGGGTAAGTTAGATCTAAGATCAAATATCATCTATGTTGTGTAGATGAGTTATTGTCGAATTGGTTGAGTTTTATCTCCCTATTGGAGCTTGGTTTAGTTTTTGGCTCTAGACATTGGTTTTCGTTTGTAATCTCAGCATGCCTAAACATCCCTGATTTTGAGGTTTGTATGAGAATGTTCTTCTGTACCTACGGGGAAATAATAGACAATATGATTAAAAATTATAATTAAAGATAGAATCAGGGTAACACCTTATTGTAGAAAATTTGGCTCTATCTCGACTTAGGTGGCTTAGACATGTGTGGAAAAGATATGTAGATGAATGCTATAAGTGTAGATCAGATGAAGGGTAGTCCAACCGTTAGAGTCATAGGAATACCTAGAAACACTGTACAAGGAACTACTAAGGAAACTTTGGGGTCAATGGTTAGGATAGAGATATGATTTATGGTAGATATTATTGGTACATCATGACAAATCGCACTCCTCTAAAGTTAGCAATTTACTTTAGAGTGTAACGTGAGTAATATCAACCATTAACTAACGAATCATAGGTAGATATTATAGGTGCATCATAACAAATCATGAGTTTGTTAACAACCCTTGCTTTTCTCACTTTACACTTAAGTCAATATAGAGGATCCAAATTCTGACTTATGATAGAACACTATGGTGTCGTTTGATCCTCGCAGGCGACCCAACCTAATATTATAAGGCTTGGTTGCTGTAATATTGAAACAAAACCTCTGAAGAACTAATGTGTTGACATGCATAGCTTGGAGAACCAATTAAATGGTTTACTCTTTTTTTAACCGGGTTTCAACACTGTAAGAGTCCAATATAATGGATGATATAACCGGGTTTCAACACTCTAAAAAGTCAAAGAAAACTTACAAAAGTTCAAAATTGAAGAAGTTATGCATTTTTGAAGTTGGGCATTTTTCCAAAATTGCCAAAAGTCAACTATCCCCAAAACTTCAAATTTTGCCAAATGGGCCCACTTTTTTCCACTTGATTTGATCTTGTCACACTACACACGTGTCCTATCTTCAGTTTTGTGTCCAATTGTTAATTTTTCCATTTTATTTGATTTTTATTGAATTAATTCATTTTTAATCAATTTAAATCCAAATAAAATCCAAATCTTAATCAATTGGAATCTTTTTGATTGATACAGGTCTTTAATATCATTACGGACATGATCAAATTCAAATCAAGGCATATCATGCACAAAATATTGGATTTGGGACATTTTTGGAAGCTTTGTAATGGAGGATCATATCATATCTTCAATCATCAATTCACAAAGATTCAAAGCCCAAACTTGGACCTAATGCATTGCTGGATACATATACAAACCAAAGGCACACGATTTAGAACCAAGAGGCTGCACAATCTGGAAAACCAAAACATGAAAAAGCTTGAAAAAGTTGGAAACTGAAATCTTGGTTAGAGGCCAATTCAAGACAAAAACTCAACATAGACTTCTTGCTTGACATCCACTGAAGCAGTAGCAATCAAAAGCAAAGCCAATCGCCTCTTAAAACACGTTGTAAGTCTCCTTGAACACTGCCCTGTACATGAAAATGCAATCTCTTATTCTTGCATCCTTTTGCCAAAATCTTTGCACAATCATGCTAATCGGTCCATTTAGAGACTTTCTGCAATATTTGATTTTGTTTTCATAGCCTGTAATGCCACGCCCGAATCTAGGGTTCATGCTTCTTGTTTTTGGGGTTTTTAGTTTCAGGAAAAATCAAGGCTATTGATGGACATGGATACGTTCAGGAGGGAGAGACGAGCATGATGGTGGTTTCAGAATTCGTTTTTATAGCCTAGAGAAGATTTTAGGATCAACCTAGGGAGTTAGTTGCGGATTCAAATCCGCAGGAAAAAGAACCAGGGTTTAGTGGAGAAGACGAAGACGTGTCCTTCTCCAACCGGCCCATTCAAATTTCGCGCTTTTATTTTTATAATTCTGGCATTTGTTGATTTTTCCAATATAATGTTTAATGCTTTTTCCACTAACAATAAAAACAAAGTGATGTAGTGGCAAGGGTGTGTGTTCATTGGCTAATGGGACCTGGGTTCGATTCCCAGGTCCCCCACATATTTGCTATTGTTTTTCTTCAGATATTCCAATTCCTTTCAAAGATCATGGTGCACCATACTCCCTCAAATCTTGAAGCGCCAGATGGCCCCAGGCCAGATCTGGTGGACCAAAGATGATGTCCATCCTATGCTCAAGTCAATGGACGCCCACTGGATCAACAAAGTCAATACAGGCATGTGCCTGTTGGGCCAAAGAATTGCCAATCTCACTCCCAAATTGGGCCTGAACCCCCCTGGGTTATTTCTTTTCCTTTCTTTTTTTAATCTATTTCTTTAATTGTTTTGATTTTTTATTTTATTGTTTAAACTAACCAATTATTAATTTTTTCTCATAAAATCATAACACGAAAATATTTTTATTTATTAAAATTAAATTCATGACTTTATTTTTGTAAATAAATAAATTCAATTAATTTAGGATAGTTAGGTCTAATTTTAATATCTTTTTGCAACATTTAAAATTAATATAGAATATTAGGTTTTTACTAACTTTAAACAATTTATTTTTTATTTCTTTAAATATCCAAAAATCCAAAAATATTTTAATTAATTAATTAATTTAATGGTTAACTTAGATTTAATTCCATTTAATTCAAAAATAAATAAAAAATGCTTTCTTTAATAAAAAGGGTCAAAACCCTAAAAAATGCGCCGATTTAATTTTCTCGCATGCGATCCATATTTTCAATATTGTAATTGCTTCTGGAATGTAATAGCTTCAAATAGGACTTTACATTATTTTATCGCTTTCTTTTATTTTTCGCAATTTAATTTAAAGAATTGTTTTTGGCGATGTAAATACTCGACGCCTTGTAATAGTTTAGATTTAATTTCCGCAATTTAAATTCCGCAACTATGCACTGTTAGATGTTTGATAATAGGGAATGCATGACAAGATCAAATGTATGAACTTAAAATCAACATATCTCACCCATGACATGTACAAAGATAAAATTAACCGAAATAACACACTCGCACATGCACACTCCTAGGGTATACCTCACTTGGTTGCCTTCGAACGTGGTCATTGAGTATAGGAAGTTTTAGAGGTCACCCTCTTGTCCAAAGATCATAAGTTGCCTCGAAACGGTTGCCTCGGAAAAAATGATCTAAGACATTAGGGTTACCGCTAAGGTGTCCTAACATTGCTTTAGTGACCACACGTCCCTTAATCGAATTGACCCTTAAAACTCCAACGACGATGCTACCCACTCCTCAATAGTGGGATAGCATTGTCTAAAGGACATTTGTACAGATTAATTCCTTTTTCGAGTAGGTAGATGGTTCTTGAGTACTTGCTCTTTCAAAAACAAAACAAAACATTTCGCACTTACACCTTTCAAAGAAAAAACTCTTTTCAAACCCACAAACACAAAGAAAAGCAAATTTTGAAAACACTTTGAGCAAGTACCTAAGAGCCCGTGGATAACCACGGATAGAAAGGGTGCTAACATCTTCCCTTTCTATAATCTACCCCCCGGACCCGAGAAACATCTCGAAAAAGGAATTTTTCTGTGCTTTTTTCCTTTCCTTGTTGGATAAAATAAAAGTCGGTGGCGACTCTTACTTACCGCGACATTTTGCGAAAACAAACGCAAAACACGAACCAGCATTCCAAAAAACAGTCAGTTCTCTCCCACCGTATCACAATATCATTCATCATAAGCATAAACAGGTCTTCACACCAAGTTTCCTCATCTCTCTGCTGTTTATTTCTGCAAGATGGATCTTGAACAAATGGTCAAAGATTTGCAAGCTCAGAATTCACAATTTCAACAATTGCTCATGACCTTAGCCAAGGGGCAGGAGGAGCTGAAGACTTTGCTAGAAAAATAAAAAGAGAAAAAGAAGAAGAAGCCAAATGGTGTTGTTATCATGGGTAGAAGATTTCAGGGACAAGCCATACAGAACTTAGAATTTCCAACAACCTCTGAAGAAGGGAAAGGAAAAGGAACGGCAGTACCATCAGATTCTGAAGAAGAAGAAGAGGAAGAAGAGGACTATTCTGAACAACAATACCCTCCGGCTGATGACAAGTACAAACACCTTGAAGAACGACTCAATGCTATGGAAATCCAAAGAGTACCGGGGCTAGATTTTGAGGAGTTAGGGATGGTGTCAGGAATTGTAATCCCTCCAAAGTTTAATGTGCCACTGTTTGCCAAGTATGATGGGGTGTCTTGCCCTAAAATGCACCTCAGATCCTATGTCAGGAAGATTCAACCACATTCTGCTGACAAAGACCTGTGGGTCCACTTTTTCCATGACAGTTTATCAGGAACGCAACTTGATTGGTTCTACCAGTTGGATAGTGTTGAAATTCACAATTGGGAAGACTTGGCCGCCGCCTTCTATAAACAGTATCAATACAACGCCGACTTGGTGCCAACCCGTACTCATCTATAGAGTATGGCCATGACTACCA